GATATAGCTTCTAGAAATTAATGAAAAAACAAGTAGAAGAAAACCGAGGAGTAGATGGAAAGACTATATAGCAGAGGACTTGAGAGAGGAAGGTTTAGGTGAAGAAGATATGATGAACAGAATTAAGTAGTGAAGAGGAGTAAGGAACAGAAACCCCTGAAAAGGGAAATGTTCATAAAGCAGAAGAAAAAGAAGTTTCCACTGAACACTCTTCACAACAATAACGTCTCCCTAAAATGGACAACTATAAGTCACACAATTTTGATACCTTTAATACAGGGAAAGATTTACGGAAAAAGATCTGTTGGTCGAATGTTTTTTTTTAATGGCATTGACATTAGTCATTCAGCCAGTTGTAATAGATTCTCCAATCAGACAAATGCACAACTCTATCCCTTATAGAAAACTAACGGATAATTAATAGAAGAATATACGACAAGGAAACTTACAGGTCACTTGATTCTCATCTAGGGGCCCATCAAGACATTCTTAGTAGACAAACAAAACTGGACGACGAATAAGGTGTTATAATATTTAAGGTAAACAAAGGATACAAATCTAAATTTCCACACAATCACGAAAAAAATTGACTGTAAGTTACAACTAGGTTTACAGCAAGTCAAAACTAAAATTATAAATATTAAATATTACAAAAAATGGAAACAATACATTAAAAATATTTAAAACATTAAAATACTTAAAAAACGTACAATATAGATATACAGGGTGAGTCCATGAGGAACTTTACATACTTCTACCATATGAAGAGTCCCTCAGGGAGCATATCATGTGGCCACTAAAAAATGTCAACTCCTCTTCTTTATTAATGGTGATTTGTGTAATTGACCATTTATTTCATTTTACTGTAGTGTTTATACGGCTCATTTGATTTTTTTAATTTTTGCATGATACAGTACACTACTATCAAGTATTCGACTGGTATTAGCTAAACTAAAAAATTCCAGGACTGGCTTTGGAAAAATTAATTTAGGGATTCGTATTAAATATTACACCCTGTATATATTTTTTTAAATGCAATAAGTGATTTTCAAACTACATAAATAGCCAATGAAAACGACATATGCGACAAAGTTGTCGCACTTTTATTAAATTTTTAGTGAACGATCAAATCAAAACCAAAAATAGAACAACCATAATGAAGTATCAAATTATAAGGTATTAATTTAAACAAATGTTATAAAGTTCAAACATTTTAATTAAAATGAGTTCCTACAACATAATCTAATGCGTAGAAAATTAACATCTTTACTGTCACTTTGTATTATCTCTACGATAGAATCAATTGTTTTTCAATTTTAAATTTTTACTCATAGATCGTATTGGGGCATTATTTTCGATAAATAATAAATTAAATTGATTAAAAAGTCAAACCTCTTGTATGTGTTAGTTTTTGATGACTGTAAATGATTAAAATTTTATGTCAAATAATAATAAATTGCATCAACTGTACTAAATAAAAATAAATCTAAAAAAGTTTAAAATGAAGGTTGGCGTTGACCGTTTGACGTTTCTTGATATTTTATACCCATTGTCATTATTGTCATTATCAATTGTTATTTATGTGTACAAGAATACATATTTCTTCTGTCATATCTACGTTAAGTACATTGTGTTAGTTTTGGTAGAGCTTTTGTTACTTTAGTTCAAAATGCCACATCAGTTTTCGACCACAGAATATGCAGACATAATGTTTGTTTATGGATTCTGTAATGGAAATGGTAGGGCTGCTAGTAGAGAATATCGCAGGAGATTTCCTAATCGTCGAACTCCCAGTCATCCAACATTTGGATCAGTTTTTAATTATTTGCGAGAAATGGCACTTTTCCTAGTGGAACAACAGAGCGACATGTAGATGTTTTTTTGATCTAACCATTTGATCCAACTAGCTTTGGCTTTTTGTTTCAGCTGCTTTTTAGTATGAGCAGTAATTTCCTGTCATTTTAGATAATTATCAAGACTTTGTGAACGTTTATAAACTGCTAATGCTTCTTTTCTAGTATTAATTATCAGATCACATTCTGGGTCCCACCATGGCGGAGGGGATCGATTTTAAGATTTAAAAATTTTATATTGAGGAATAGATTTAATAGCAGCAATGATTAATGCAATCTATTATAAAGGTAAAATTTTCATAAGTATTAAGGGAGTTACTTTTATTAGAAAACATGTTTTCAATTAAGTATATATACAGGGACCAATTGGCCTTTTTGATGTTCCACTTGCTTTTTGGATAAATTGTTTGGATAAAATGTCAATATTTTCAGTTGTTAAAAAATGAACTAAACTGTTTTTATTCGAAACAACGGATCGAGCGTTGCAAAATTTTTAATGACTTAAGTTCTGTGAAGATGTTATTTATTGATATTATCCTCCAAAATCGTTTTTATTCCATGGTAAATAATATCTTGATTTATTGTTTTTATATCATCTACAGTTTGAATATTTGTGATTAAATTAATAATGTAATTGGAAATAAGTGTTTGTAGAACTGTTTGATCTGGTTTATTTTGACAATTAGGGATGTTTATATTAGCAGGAAGGGGTCTAGGAGGCCCAAAATTAAAAGGAAATATAGGTGCGCTATGGGGGAACTGGGGGTAGGAGAGATTAATTTTTGTTTTTTTCACTATACTATAGTGACTTGAGGAGGGTTGTGACGTGTTATTTGATGATAATATGTTTTGGTTTCTACGCGGGATTACTTGTGTGGCAGCGGAAGGGGTTGAATTTTTTGTAAATGTTGGCAGGGGAGGAAAACTGTTTTCGATATTTTCTAGTGTGGAATATCTATTCTGAGTAAACAATACCGAGAAGGATTATTCACAATAAGTTTTTGCCTCGATGAAAGAAGTTTTTTGCTCAATCATTACGTTTTTGATCTTGTTCTGCAGTTCATATTTTGGACATTTCTTGGAAATGGATACGTGATCCTTACTATTGCAATGGACGCACTGAATATCATTATTCTGGCACGCATGACTTTCATTTTTGGTTTTTCTGCATTTTATGCAATGTGCCTGTGTACTCCGACACTGCTTGGAGATATGTCCAAATCTCAAACAATTATAACACTGAGTGACCTTGCCAATATAGGTTTCCACAGGAAAAAATACACTATTTATTGCTGTAGTTAGGTAAAATATTCCCTCAAAGGTGACTATTAAAATCCTTTTCGGTGCATAGTTAGTTTTTTCTTCCGTATCAACCCTTCTAAAAGTTCGTTTCTAACCTAATATGGGGGAGGAAGATTCACTGTTATCTAATAAATAATTTTCATCGTATTTGGTATCAACATCTCTGATTAAACCTTTAATTTCTAGTAGATAATTAGGAATATAAGCTACCAAATTTTCATTGTTTAACTTTAAATTTTTAACCAAATTATTTGCATCAGAAATTGACTTAACAAAACATTCTCTTTTTTCCAATGCCTTCAATTCCAATAATATTAGGAATATTCAATTTTTTATGCAAAATATGAGCGACAATTAAAGGATGTAAACGACCTATATTTTCAGTATTTGTTTTTTCTGCTGGTAGGATGTTTTATATAGGATGTTTATGTTTTCTATGTAAACATAATAGTATATTACATAACGAGAGTTGTGAGAAGCTTATTACATGCGAATAAAAAAGTTGCGAGCGAGCCGCGTAGCGGCGAGCGCAGTAATTTTACAAGCATGTAATAAGCTTACAACTCAAGTTGTGTACTATACTTTTTCTACCATTATTTTCGTTTATAAAAATAAAAATTAAATTACCACTATATTTACACTGACAGATTAATAAATTTTAATCTGTCAAAATAACGTCTGTTTAATTCGTTTTCATGGTAACTCGACCAACTGACTTACGAGGCTTATGTGATATTACACATTTTTATAAAACTGAAGCGTAATTTTTTTTATTACGTGCTAGTCATTACGTGTCAGTATCTGTTATGATGCATTTACTTAGCATTCAAATAGTAGGTAATATACAATTTACTAGTAAGAGAGTAGAAAATAGTATATTAACATAACGAGAGTTGTAAGAAGCTTATTACATGCGAGTAAAAAAGTTGCGCGCGAGCCGCGTAGCGGCGAGCGCAGTAATTTTACAAGCATGTAATAAGCTTACAACTCAAGTTGTGTACTATACTTTTTCTACCATTATTTTCGGTTATAAAAATAAAAATTAAATTACCACTATATTTACACTGACAGATTAATAACTTTTAATCTGTCAAAATAACGTCTGTTAATTCGTTTCCATGGTAACTCGACCAACTGACTTACAAGGCTTATGTGATATTACACATTTTTATAAAACTGAAGCGTAATTTTTTTTATTACGTGCTAGTCATTACGTGTCAGTATCTGTTATGGTGCATTTACTTAGCATCCAAATAGTAGGTAATATACAATTTACTAGTAAGAGAGTAGAAAAACATTATTAAAATTGTACTTATCTGATTTGACGTTGAAAAATTTTATCGTTACTGTTTTTTGCGCTGTTTCAGGTTCTGGCAAGATTGTAGTACAGTCACTGGTTTTATTCGCATTTTTCGCAGTCGAATCATCAATATTCTCGATTAAACTGAATTCATTAATAGGCATTTCACTATTCTCACTAACACATGAAAAGTTTAAATCACCTATTGGCGTCTCTGGGGTAATTGCCTCCCCCATGGGGGAGTCGCTTATAGACTTATTTATTATTTTCGACCTATCGCTACGGAAGTTCGAATAATACTGGTTGGTCGAAGGTAGAATGTCTGGTTGAATAATCTACGTGATTGGTATCAATGCAGATTAACTGATTTGCTTACGAGTATTAAGCTCAAAAATAAAAATAGCCATTATGATTTCCAACCTCCAAGAAAATGGCAAATAGTTAAGAAAAATCGTAAAACATGTCTACTAATACTACTTTTAATTATTTTTTAGACATTTTTTAATTTACCTAAGTTTTACATATCACTAAGCTTAGATTTTTAGGTTCCGCCGGAAGTTACAGAGATAAGCAGTAAACAAAATTATACTGTATTTTTTGGATTAACTTTTATAGAGACGATAAAATCTTTCAATGTTATGGTAAAGAACAAAAGGTAAGAAGATTGCAAAGATAGCTTTTTAAATCACTGTCAAAGCACTAGAAAAAACATTATTTCTTTCATTATTTCTTCTTCTTCTTAACGTGTCCCATCCCTAAGGACATTGGCGATCATCATAGCCCATTTGACTCTATCTATAGCTTTTATTCATATATTAACTATTGACGTTTTCCCACTTCATTGTCTCAGGTTCTTCAACCAGGACGTGCGTCTTCTCCCCGCGGTCCTCTTTTGTCTTCCACCTTCCCTTGTATGACCAGCCTCATGAATTCGTGTTTCTTGTTTCTTAGTATGTGACCAAAGTAGCTCATGTTTCATTTCTTTATAGTTATTTAGTATAGTATAGAGTATTTCTTTATCTTTTTTCATTCTTCGTAGCGTTTCTGTATTTGTTATGTGTTGTGTCCAAGATATTTTCCACATTCTTCAATAACACCACATTTGAAAGTTAATGAGTCTTTTTTTTGTTGCCTCTGTAATTGTCCAGGCCTCAACTCCATACAACAGGGCAGAGAACACGTAGCATCTCAATAGGTACTCTAGTTCTAATTTCAATCTTGATTTTTTCATTGCATAATATTGCTTTCATCTTATTAAAAGCACTTCTAGCTATGTCAATACGCCGTTTTATTTCCGTACCTCTATCCCAGTCTTTATTTAGTTCGCAATCTAAGTACTGATATCTGTGCACCCTGACTAAAAGTTTTCCTTTAGCATAAGGACTATATTGCTTTTTTCCTCAATCTCGTTCTTGCTTACCACCATGATATTTGTTTTATTTGTATTCAGTGTCATTCCATACCTTTCGCAGTATTGGCTAATGCGATCAACCAAGATTTATAGTCCTTCTCTGCTGTCCGAGGAGTATTATGTCATCTGCGTAATATTATTCAGCAGTGCTCCGGTAATAAATATGCCTTTATTTACGTCTTCGTATTCCTCTTTAAACAATTTTTCTGAATACATATTAAAAAGTAAAGGGGAAAGCACACATCTTTGTCTTACTCCACGATTTATAGGTATTTCTTTCGATTTTTGTTGGTCTATTCCATGATATAAGGAAACATGGTATGTTCACGCGCATCTATTTTGAACAGCCAATCGCGTTTACGACCAAAATCCGCCATTTTGAAGGCGGCAATTTAAATAGTACAAAATTGATACGAAATTAATATTATACATTAATCCAGTTACCTAATTCATATTTAAAATGATCTGAACAGACTCTTGCTAAAATAATTTTTTAAAAATCGAAATAAAACAAAAACACATTTACTTTTAAATTCCAATACATTGCAAAGCAAGGTTAAAAAATGCAAAAGTAAACAAAGCAGACGTCACGCGTGTAGAGGTGGTTGATCCAAGTATTTTTGTGGATCAGGTCAGGTATGCTCACTTACACTTACTATGAGTACAGTACCCGTACCATGGACGTATAAATAAAGATATTTATTTATACCTCCATGACCCGTACTAGTTTATTATAATATATTGGTGTTAGGGATCAGTTCCACAAGTATAAATAAAATACATGTTCCAAAGTAACTGGTACGGGATCAGGTCACCATCCCTACACGCATGTGACGTATTGAAAAGATGGTGGATTTTGGTCGGTGCAGAAATGTGCAAAAACGAGTCCACCTAGTGAGCATACCTTGTTTCCTTATATCATGGTCTATTCGTATTATGGCTTTCTGATATCGGTATAGATTGGCAATGAATCTCACGTCTTCGTCATCTAATTCTGTATTCTGCAGTATTTTTGCCATCCTTCGGTATTTTACTTTGTCTAAAGCTTTTTCGAAGTCGACTACTCGACTAGACATATGAATACGTCGCAATTGACATCTCGACATCGTTCGATTAGTGTTTGTACAGTAAATAATGCTTCTCTGGTGCCCAAGCCTTTTCTGAATCCCAATTGGTTTGTAGCAATTATATCATCTAGCTTTTTATAACGTTCGTATATCATTCTTAAGAACACTTTTAGAATATGGTTCATCAAGCTAATGGTCCTGTGCTCTTCACACTTCATTGCGTTTCATTTTTTGGGTATTGGAATGAATATTGATATTAACCATTCTTTCGAAATCTCTCCCGTATAATAAATGTCATTAAAAAATTCTGTTAGTGTGCCCATATGATTTTTGTTAATATTTATCTGGTCCCATAGCCTTCCCATTTCTTATACGTTTTAGTGTTTTCTCTAATTATTTCATTAATTCATTATTTCGCGTTTCATTTCGGAACATTTCAATTGCATAAAACATCAAGTTGTTTTAAATACCTCATTACTGTCTGTTGAGTTTTTTTACTGCAGAAAGTGCTAAAAAGTTTACAAATTAACTTTAATTTGAAGGAAGTCTGGGCGAGGGGTAATTTTGAAACAATATTTTCCGTTGAAAAGACGTTACAATATCCTAGCAGCAAAAGCCAAATAATAAAGCAATATATGAGTGTAAATGTGGACAGCAGGAGATTATCTCAAATCGTTATCCAATCGAAAGCGGAGATATGGTACTAGTAGAGCTTTTTTTGTCGTACTACCACCAATTATTCCCGGTATTAAGAGCGCACACAACCAAAAATTGTTTGAACAATTATTTGTAAACAAATTGTCAAATTTAATTTTTTGTTCGAAACAAGGAACATTTTTTTTTAGGTTAACTGGATTATCTAGGCCTCATTACATCCAAAAATCTGCCTGATCAACCCAAAACCTTTCTACCTTTCATCAAAGGTGTCACTCTGACAAGATCAGTAGAACTGTTAACCCTCTAAACAATAAAACCATCTTCACTACTCACTCGAAGTTGTCCAATCTCGTCAGATCTGTAAAAGACCAACTCCCCAATAAAAACCATAATCTCTATAGATACTGTGAAGTTTATATAGTTCTAATTTATTTGTCTATAATCTAATTTATTAAAACTCACGATAACTAATTACGAATTTATTAAAGTCTTTATTAATTCTAATTTATATTACAAATAATAATTTATGTTTCGTTACATTTAAATATCGCGGTTGCCGAGCTTCTTATCACTAACTGCCAAATAAAAATCTTTCATTTATATACACAACTGTGTCATCTAGAGAATTCGGCGGACTTCCTGAATAGTCTCGTATTTTGGTGAAGGCGCTCGACTCGTTTTTCAACCTCGAGACGTGGATGACTCACTAAAATTAGTGTCTAGAGATTTCTGGTAAACAACTGGTAGCTAAGCTCAGGTATATTTTGACCTACAAATTACGAGAATCAATAAAAAGAATTAGTCATAAAATATTTACAGTTCTATATGCCATAACATTTAAAATCGTAACATTGCCCCCCTCTTAAAAGATGGTTCCTCCTGGAACCTTGTCGGGACTGGAACTGGAACGACATGCTGATATCGGCAACTGGACCCTCTTTTACAACTTCCAGTTGTATAGAAATGACAAGGGACGGTTTTCTCTCCGCAGCAGTAACTATGCGGATTGCAACAGACTAACACCTGGACTTCGGTGTCTTTAAAGATTTCCTCCACCATGTTTCGTATAACCCTCCAATCTAATTGGCGGCACTCCAACTTTGGCATGGCTAACTTTTGCACGTCGGACTCTAGTACGTGCTCTCTCAACTGAAGTAAGGCTTCCCATACATCTCGGTAGGTAGGTTGGTCACGGGCAGTGTCTTTTGTTACCAGGTAGAAAAGGTAACGTGATGCATCTTGAAGTTTCAAGGTTTTACCAGGAGCTGGCACTTGGCATTGAAGTTCTGCAACTCGACCAAACTTCCTTCGAAAGACGGATGCCAACCCTGGTGCATCTTTGATACTGGCCGGGATGGTAAGGGCCAGTGAGTAGTCATCGGGAAGCGCGAGTAGATCTTGCCTTTCTTCAGTGGTAACACCATGTCTTGCTTTACCGGTACCTCCATAGGCACCCATGAATTCCTCAAACGTGAGGTCAGACACATCTTGGACTTGGTTTACTTCCACTTCTTCATCTACGTCGTGGTCACCCTCGAAAGACGCCAGCCGGTTATGGTGTACTATCATCGGCTTTCCTCTCGGAATCTTGCTTATTCGGTAAATAACATCATTGATCTTCTCCATAATGAGGTATGGACCTTCCCAAAACTGCTGCAATTTGGGAGAACAACCTTTTCGCTTTTTGGGGTTATAAAGCCAGACTTTATCGTTCTTCTTAAAACACCCCTTTTCGGCTTGCGTATCGTACCGTTTCTTCATTCGGTCACTAGCGATCTGGAGATGGGAACGGACCAACTCGTGTACATCGTCCATTCTTCTTCGTAATTCGATCACATAATCTTCACCTGCTACATCTTCTCCAGGTCGACACCCAAACTCTAGATCACAAGGTAGTCGCATCTCGCGTCCGAATAGGACTTTGGCTGGTGTCTGGCCTGTTGATTCATTAACAGCAGATCTGTAGGCCATTGTGAAGAACGGGAGATATTGGTCCCAGTCTCGCTGATGATCGGACACCATCTTTGTCAAATACTTGCCAACTGTTCTATTCATTCGTTCTACCATACCATCCGATTGCGGATGATAAGCCGTAGTCCTTGTTTTCTTCATACCTAGTCTATCACATATTCCTTGGAATAAATCGCTTTCGAAGTTCCTGCCTTGGTCACTATGGATCTCCAAAGGCACTCCAAATCGGCTGATATATTCTTGGATCAACTTATCTGCAACGGTGGCCGCCTTCTGGTCTGGAAGTGCGTAAATCTCGACCCACTTAGTGAAGTAATCCATTACTACCAACATGTACTTGCCTCCATTATCACTTTCTGGAAATGGCCCAGCAATGTCCAAAGCTATTCTTTCAAACGGGCTTCCAACATTATATTGTCTCATAGGAGCTCTCCTTTTTCGATAAGGCCCGTTACTCGTAGCACAAATAGTACATTTCTTACACCAGTCTTTTACATCGTCGGAACTGTTCATCCAATAAAACCGTTCCCGAATTCGCTGAAGGGTCTTTTTCACACCAAAATGCCCTCCTGATGGACTGTCGTGTAACTGACGAAGTACTTCGGCTATTCTGCTCTTTGGAATCACCAACTGTCTTCTCTTCTCTGAACCGTCATCATTTTCCAGGACTCGTTTGAGCAAGCCATCTTCCATGATAAATGAGTCCCACTGGGCCCAATACGTCTTTACTACCGAGCCTAGGTTCGATATTTCCTGCCAACGTGGTCGACGGTTTTCCTCTTTCCATTTTCGGATTTTCTGGATAACCGGATCTCTCTCTTGTTCTTCCCTGATCTTGGTAGGCGTCCAGTCGTCGTGGACCACCGTCGTTCTTAGCACTGCTGCTTCCTTAAGGCCGGCGCGTTCTGGTTTTGTCTTCGGTCTTATGGTCTTCGTTTTCTTGTGTGTCATGCTTTTTATCATATTAAAGAGCTGGTCAAGTTTATCTTCATCTCCTTCCTCTTTTACAGTCCTAACTTTGCTATACCCGCCAGAGGCCTGCGTAGCTGACTCGTATTCGAGGGCGGCAGATAAGACATCCATCAGCGTCTTGTGACGAGCTAATCGTAGTGTTCTTTGCATCTCATGATCACGAAGACCATCAATAAACGTTTGAACGGCCAACTTTTCCATCATGTCTTCGGGAGCTGTTGGATAAGCATATCGCACTAATCTGGCGATATCTACTTCATATTCTTGAAGAGCCTCATCTTTCTTTTGTCTTCGATTTTTGAGCTGCGACTGATATACATGCTCCAAGTGTTCGTGGCCATATCGCATATTTAACCTCTTCTTCAGTTGTTCGAAATCATCCGTCTCCTCTACGGCTATGGTCTGGAGCACATCTAAGGCATCTCCTCGAAGAGCGATAGTCAGGTTTACAGCCTTTTCTTTTTCAGACCATCCATTCGCTCTTGCAGCTGATTCGAACTGTTTCATGTAGTTGTTCCATGATGATTTTCCGTCGAAAGTTGGGACTTTGACATGAACGGAACTTCCACTTCCTTCAAATTTCGGCCGTGTTTCCAACTTACATTTTGTCTCGTCTTCTTTTATCTCTACCGGATCTAAAGCTACCGTATTAATTGGTGGTAGCACTCTTGTGTTAGTTATCATGGTCTCTAACTGTTTGATTTTCTCTTCAACTTTATCAAATGTTTTAGAGACTTCTTCAAACTTCTCACTATTCTGAATACATACTTCGTCGAATCTTCTAGACATATTTTCAATTTTCTCGTCATTTTGTCTAGCTATTTCTTTAATAATTTGAGACGTTTCATCGAATCTTTCATCAGTTTTTTTAGAAGTTTGTTCGATCATTTGCGAGACATTTTCAAATTTCTCATTTATTTTTGTTAAAACTGTTTCTTCTGATGATTGAAACTGGAATGTCTCTGGGTCATCTCCATTCTTGTTAAGAACATTCTTCAGTCGCTCCTGGAGGATCTTCTTGGACCCGCTGCAGTCTTCATCGCGTTCTTCTAATTGCTCACGCAACTGTTTTACCGTGAGTTGTACTAGCAGCATCTTTGGTCAGGCACACACGTACTTTTTAAATGTTCTTTCGTACAACGATCACTACTGAACTACGCGGATGTTCCCGACGAACAATACCTTTCAAAAGTTCAAAAGTCTTTTTCAAAAATCAAATTAAATTTATCTACAATCCCACTTTTTCTGACACCACTGTGAAGTTTATATAGTTCTAATTTATTTGTCTATAATCTAATTTATTAAAACTCACGATAACTAATTACGAATTTATTAAAGTCTTTATTAATTCTAATTTATATTACAAATAATAATTTATGTTTCGTTACATTTAAATATCGCGGTTGCCGAGCTTCTTATCACTGACTGCCAAATAAAAATCTTTCATTTATATACACAACTGTGTCATCTAGAGAATTCGGCGGACTTCCTGAATAGTCTCGTATTTTGGTGAAGGCGCTCGACTCGTTTTTCAACCTCGAGACGTGGATGACTCACTAAAGTTAGTGTCTAGAGATTTCTGGTAAACAACTGGTAGCTAAGCTCAGGTATATTTTGACCTACAAATTACGAGAATCAATAAAAAAGAATTAGTCATAAAATATTTACAATTCTATATGCCATAACATTTAAAATCGTAACAATACCTTGTTTCCGTACATAGTAGAGACAAACCGACAAATCCACAACCATATTTACAAACATTATATATCTGTAAAACATTCCGATACCCTTTTTCGCGAGAACTTGGTAATTTTCATTTTTCCGAGGAGAGAAGTAGTTTTAGGGTTCATTTGACGATTGCTCAACTTTAATATATAAACTTTTGACTAAGTTATCGAGCTTTAAAAATAGCGATTTCCATGTTTTTCTAGACCTTAAATTATTTAAAACCCGAAAACGATGCATTTTAGTGAAAAGTTACTCGGGCCTTTTTGTTTTTATTGAGCCAGTTGACCTAAAAACATTTGTTTGGGACAAAAATTATTAATTTTGACACTTTTTTTTTAATTGTTTAAATAACTTTTGACTACATTTTTTTATGGGCAACATGCACTTTTAATATAAGTGGACTATTTCAAGTAAGATTGTGCCAAAATATAGAATGAGAATATTTTGCCTAGCCAGTGCGACTATACTAACCGGACAAAATTCTCTAATTGTATATTGTCAATTGTGTAGAGGATGAGTAATTGCCTTGTTACTAAAAATATTCACCTTCATTGTCTTTACAAATAATCACCTATACTCGAACGACTGCGTCACCTCGAATGAGTACCGATCTGACAAAGACGAGATTTTTCCTCAGTTCCCTAAGTTTTTACACTCAGTAAGTTCAGGCTCTTAACACTGCATTATCACTTACATATTTTTCCGAATATTTAACTACAACTTCTATTAATATTGTAATTTTTAGTTCTGCATGTCTAAGTTGTGAATGGAGATTTAAAAACAAAGATTCCAAAAATTTAATAAACTTACCAGAAGAGTGGATAATCCAAAAGAAATTTTACCCGATACTGAAACCATATAGTACAACGGAATTTGAATTTGATGTTCATATAATTCCTGAGAAAATTGGTTATCACAGCATTTTTTTCTGGTAAGTCCAATATTTATTCAAAAGGAAAATTAATTTTCTGTAGTCGGCTGTATACCATAAATCACAAACATTTTAATTAAAAAATCATTTATAAAAGGTAGAATAATATAAAAGAACCCTTTAGGGCCACATCACAGATGGTTTTCGGAATGACTATTTCATCGTCAGTGCTTTTACTAGATAGGTATGAGTGAAGCCACTAAATTTACAGGTCTACCAAACGCCGAAGAACAGGCATGCGTTATAGCAGGCCACGACAGACCCTCTTTTTGGTGCAACCAAAGTAGTTGACACGAAGAAAGCGTTTGATCAAGATATAGGGCATTCATAATAAGGCCACAATAAAAGTAACCGATTAAATTACGCAAGGTTTCACAGTTACTAAAGTGTTAAAGCAAGGACGTTGCCTGTTTCTCACTCTTTTTGGATATACCTAGAAAGAGCTTTAAAAACATAGACGAGAAAGTGCCATGAGATAGGAGTCACTCTGGATAACACTAAACTTTACTATCTGTGTTATGCAGATGTTTAGTTAGTGTTGGCACAAAAAAATTATAACGGGATTCGAAAGTGAATATGGAGAAAAACGAATACATGTGTATTGAAGGAGAACTACATGACCTACAACTAGAAGATGGATAGTGAACTATTGTGAGAAATATAATTATCTAGATTTGAAAATTACAAATAACGGTACATTAGACGAATCTATAAGACACAGGAATACTCAGGGTAGGAGAGCTATCTCCCAACTAAATAGTATTGCATGGGACTAAACGATATCCAAGGACAACAAAAAAATAATTGGTACGTACGGCTTGGAAGTGTGGCAAATTACGAATATAATAGAGAAAATGATTGAAACAACCGACATGAATTTCTAGCGATGTTCAGCTGGAAAGTCAAGGCAAGAACGAGTAACAAACGACTGCAAAAGGTTCCCGTTTGAGATCCTGCAGCATATGAATGGCGCTGTATTTACAAAAAAGATTTATATATTTTTTTCAGTTTCTGTTTCTGTACAGCTACTTACTTGTTTTGACTTTTATTTAATAATACCATCCACTATCTTCGTCTTTTTTTAATTTAAATAAATAAACAGAGCTTATCACAACAAAAGCTGCAAAAGCAACAACGAGGTCATTCAGACGACCTCTATCCATATTGACTGTTACACAACTGATTCAGTTGTCAAGGTTTTTAAGAATACTTGCGTATACTTGCTATGTCTGTTCGGGCTCGTGTACTTGTCAATTGTACACGTCGTGTGAGCGACCTGCTTGCCATTGCAATCGCAAAGTTCGTATACTTGCATAGTAGGCAAATAGTTGTGTACTTGACAAGTACACGAGTTGTTTGAGTCCACCAGCATCTCGTACGCTTATAATCTACTTTTATCCTTGTTATTTAAAATTCAAGTTCTGCATCATATAGGAATACATATATGTACACACCGTTAATTTCATTTTTTCTGTTACTGCCATTTTTCTCTAAATAAAAAACATCCTCTGGTTTATTATATTTGTATTGTCTTGTCTTAGTTTTTATTTATTTTTTTATGTTTTAGCTTTTACATTACAAATGTTCCTTATATCAGTTTAAAAGAAAATGAAGACTTTGTCGTTATAGAAAGAACAGACATTTGTGGAAAGACACTTAGTAAAGTATATTTTGTTTAAACTATTTTATTATTGACGATCTTTCAAAGTGATCTTTTTAGGCTGTGGACGTTCTCATCTCACAAATTGAAGTATGTGTTCTTATTCAGTTGGATGGAGATGAAACCAGGTATTTTTATCATTTATTTTGAGATTTTTTAAATAAGCGTTTCCTTGATTATTTATAATACAAATTTAAATAATTGTCAAGTTTGAATATTGCAGTATAATAGTAACCATGATGATAAAAAATTTGATTTCGAACAGAGAAAAGTATTCGTTGTTTATTATGTTAGTTATGTTTAGCAAATCCCTCTTTTGATTATTTTTGTCAGCCCTCGTTCATAGTTTCTATCGTTCACAAGATTATCAGAATTCGACGATAAACTACTGATCAAATGCTTTTAACCTGTTCATCGCTTTTACTTTTAGGATCAGGTCTTTTTAAGATTCAAGAATTCTTCTAAGAAGTTACTTACGCATATTTATGTTGCACGATATTGTTTTCTGAGCAAGTAAATCCTTTAATTTATTTAATGGTCTAAAACTCCAAAGGTTTTAAACCATTTACGATAAATAAAGGCTGTCCAGTTAGGCAAGACATAAAATTTTATTTTTCTTATGGCCGTATGACACTACACATTTTCTTGTACAATTTCTTGTATCATTTCTTATATAAGATATTGTATAGGGTGTTAATACATTTTATTGTACAAGTTCTTGCATTTGATTTTTTAGCTGTATGATACTATGCAATTTCTTATATAAGAAATTGAATATAACGAAGTGTATCGTTTGTGATAACGACCGTTGTGATTGGTAGAAATTTATTGTAGCTACATACATATTGTGCATTCCCTGCACGTCACATGTCAAATAGATTATAATTTGTATTATAACTAAAACCATATTTTTTACTTTTTTGGTTAGTTTTAAAAAGTTATAAGGCTATTTCTAATTTTTAATTAATAAATTTCTAATTTGTAAAATGTGGTGGACAAGAGATTAAGTCCTAATGCTAATAGAATATTATGGCAAGCATAAAAATTTGTACAATGTAAAATCAGCATTATATAAAAACAGACACGCTCGACAAACTGCCCTGGAAGCTGTTGCTAAAGAGTTAAGTCTAGTTAGGCCAGGCACAACAGTACTGGATGTTACAAAAAAATTTAATGCCTTGCGCACGACTTACATGGCTGAAGTCAAAAAAATTGTTGCTACAAACAAAAGTGGTGCTGGAGCTGATGATGTAAGATTTTAATTAAAATTCTATGTATTTGTGTATTATTAATGTGTAAAAATATTTTGTAGATTTATATATCAAATCTATACTATTTTAATGAAATTGATAAGTACCTTCAGGGATCAGGTATTGAAATAAGGGAATCTTTTGATAGTATAGATATTATAGATGCTTCTGATGGAACAGCTTTAATAGATGACACGATTAATACAGATGGTACTTTAGACAGTAATGATGAACCATCCACTTTTCTCCAACTCTACAAGATGTATGTAATTACAATTATGATGTATATGATGAAAAATTAAAATTTTTTTCTTTTTAGAACTTTCCAAATCATAACTATGCGATAGATGAGTTTTTAAGCCCCAGATCAAGTCGTCTATCCACAATGCAACCAATTAGCAAAAAAAGAATAGTTCAGAGTGAACAAGAAAGTATTGCTGGAATGGCAGAAGCTGTAGCGACTCTTGTACAAACCTACAAAAAAAAAGAAAAGAAGTACCACCAGAAAAACCCCCAACACCTGATGCAACTGACAGTTTATTTCAGTTCTGTGCGGCTAGAGTAAAAGAAATTAAATGTCTTAAAAGAATTTTGGAAGGCTGTTGGTCTCTATAAGTTTGGAAGCTCGGCCGTTGGGGAAGGTGTTAATTTAAACAGTTTACTGCAACCTTTCGCAAGACTTTTGAATACGAAGATAACATCAGATCCTGTGCTGTATGCAGAACCACTTATCCTCAATGAACATTTAGACCGGCCGTTTAGTATGGAAGAACTTCAAATAGCATTGGATTCTTTAAAACCAAATAAAGCGCCAGAAGTGGATAGAATTGCTGCTGAGTTTTACAAGTTTCTTCCAGAAAACGGAAAAGTGCTTGTACTTGGGCTTGCCAATAATTTTTTCGACAAACCAGACTTTCCTCAGGGATTTTATAATGCAATAATTTTCGTCTTTATAAGAAAGGAAACATGGAGAATGCAGAAAGTTACCGAGGTATTAGCTTCTTAAATGCAGTAACCAAACTCATTGCGGCATTGACTTTAACTAGACTTACCTCGTGGGTACAAAATAATAACATTTTAAACGAGTTCCAGGCAGGATATAGAACTGGCTATTCAACTATAGACAACATTTTTAATCTTACAAATATAGTAAAAATCCAACATGCACGGGGAGTAAAAAATGTTTATACATTTTTTGTAGACTTTAGTGCTGCTTTTGACACAGTTGATCGTCGGACACTTTTTTACAAGTTGAGTCATTTAGGATTATCTACTAAAATGCTGAATTTGTTAAAAAGTATGTTTGCTAATACAAAATCGGCAGTCTGGTCAAGGGAAGGTCTATCTGACTGGTTTGACTGTAATATAGGAGTGAGACAGGGATGTCTTTTAAGTCCATTGCTGTTTGCGCTTTTCTTAAATGACCTACATGAAGCATTGGGAGGCGGTTTGGAAATAAATGGTTTAATTATAAGACTTTTATTATATGCAGATGATTTGGTTTTAATGGCAATCAATTCGAAGGTGCTACAGCGGATGATTAATGAACTAGAAAAATACTGCAGGATGTGGAATTTAAAAATAAATTTAGATAAATCCAAAATTCTTATGTTCAGAAGAGGAAGTGGTGTGATTGTCTCCGAAGGCGTGTCAGGCAGAAGCTGACAGCCGTGCCGGACGCATTTAGAAATTCGGAGAAATACTTGGAAATTCCAAGTTTGGGCAAATCCGAATTTCTAATTGACTCGATTCAGGGAAATTCCACTTTTGCTACGTAAAACAAAGGATTTGTTTTATATAAAAGCAGACGGAATTTCTCTCATCGGTCAGTCGAGCTTGCCTCTTCTTCTGTAGACCTAGTCGGTGCTATTTTTGTTCCGACTAAGCTATTGTTTTATTTCTTATTTCCTGATAACCATTTATATTTTATTATTGTATATTCAGACCTTTTCAGGTTAGAATATTACTTTGACTTATATTTGTTCATATACTGATTATTTGATATTTTATTTGATCATTTTGATTGTTTATTTTTCTTGTATTTTGTATCTAAGTTGTTCTTCCGTAAGTTAAGAATACTTAGAAATATTTACCTTACTTTTTTTCTATTTTATAAATTTGATTTTGTACTTTGTGTCTAAGTAGTTCTTTCCGGTAAGTCAAAGAACTCTTAGAAATATTTCTCTGATATTTGACTTGTTAATTTTATTATGTGCCTAAGTCATTCTTTTCCGGTAAGTCAAAAGAACACTTAGAAATATTTTTTTAATCATTATTGCATTATTATTTCCGACATTTATCCAAGATATTTTCTTAATATATTTGTCTCTTTTATTTTACCATTTCATGCTGAGTTGTTTCTTCCGTAAGTCAAGAAACACTTAGCAATATTTCCATATCTTTTCTGTATTTGATTTTCTTATTTTCTATTATAAGTTGTTTCCTCCGTAAGTCAAGAAACACTTACAAATATTTGTATTCTTATTTTACTATATTTGATTCTCTTGTTTGTTTTCTGTTCTAAGAAACACTTAGAAATATTTCCATACATTGTTTCATATTTACATATTTCATTTATCTATATTTCTGTCTTAAGTTGTTTCTTCCGTAAGTCAAGAAACACTTAGGAATATTTCTGCACTTTTTTGTTCTTTTAATCTTGTGTATTTTACTTTTCATTCTAAGTTGTCTCTTCCGTAAGTCAAGAAACAATTAGAAACATTTTCTGTGAATTGTATTTTTATATACCATTTTATTTCCTTGTTTACTAAGTTATTTCTTTTGTAAGTCAAAGAATACTTAGATTATTTTACCTGTTCTGTTTTCTATTTTGATCTGCTATTTTGTAACTGTTCCTTGGAACTGTTACCTATAACAGATACTTGTCACGGTAACTGTTATTTTATACCAGTAGCAGTATTAACACGTTTTACCAGCGACAAGCAAAGATGGTCAACACCCGATCAAATTCCGGGGACAGGAAGAAGTCCGAAGAGACGGCGATGGGTCCTACAGGCCCAAATGCCCCCTCTCGGCAACATGATCAGGGAATCTTGGAAACTCAATGATCAAGTATTAGAGGTAGTGAATAACTATAATTATTTAGGAATGATATTAACACCCAAGTTGTCGTATAAAGCTCATCTAAAAAAGCGCCAGAGTTTGGCAAAAGTGACGATTCACACGGCTTGGAGTAGTTTAGTGTCTAACGCTGAAATACCCTTTTTGGCTAAAGTTACCGTGTATGAGTCAGTGGTAAGATCGATTTTGACTTATGGGTCTCAGGTATGGGGTATTTTTAAGTACGATGAGGTGGAAATAATTAGAAGATTTTATATAAAAAAAATGTTTTCTTGTCCAAGGTATTGTCCTAACTTTATTTTAGACTTGGAGACAGGTATTGCTAGAGTCAGCCTATATACGATGAACTTACATAAAAACTATGTTAAAAAAATACTAGGATATACGAATGATAGGTTGCCAAAATTTCTTTTGAAGGAAATGATGAGAGCAAGGTATGGCTGGTGGAAAGATTGGATGAGCATGGGAGAAAAATTTGGTATTGAGGTTAGGTGTGAATGGGAATGGAGAGATAGCTGGCCTAGTATGATTGAGAATATGATAGAGAAGAAGAAGGAGGAGATACAGCGTCAGGCTGAGAACAGGGCACTCGAATCAAATTTTTGTGGACACTACAAAGTATTGCGGGAAGAAGGAGTAAGCATGCATTACCTACTGGAAATGGAAAATTTTGGGGATATTCGATGGCTCTTTAAATAAGGATGTGGGATTCTATATTTGAATGATCGACCTGGCAGAAATGATGAAAGAAGATTTTGCTCAATGTGTAACACGAAGGAAAGGGAAGATGTGATACA